GTTCATGTATCGCCTTCACTTTGTCAGGATCGATGTGTATACCTTTAGTGGTGACCACGAATCCAAGGAATTTTCCGCTAGACATTCCAAAGAAAGATTTAGTAGGATTCATCTTCAATTGATGGCTTCGCATGAGATCGAACATCGTCTTCAAGTCCTTGTCTCTTGTACCATTGTCGCGGCGATTGCTTCAATCCGTAAAGAGACTTCTTCAGCTTGCATACCAATTCTTCCTTTCCTGCAGCTTTGAACCCCATAGGTTGTGTCATGTAGATCTCCTTTTCTAAATCTCCATGTAGAAAGACTGTTTTCACATCCATCTGGACCAAATCCAAATCCAGTTGTGCCACCAATGCCAATAAAATACGAATCGAGTAGCAGAATACACCAAGGGGCGTTCTGAACGCTGTATGCTTCTCGTCATCTGGGTGCATCTTGATTTGATTATATCCTGAAAACCCATCCATGAAAGACATTCTCTCGAATCCGCATGTATTTTCAATAATAACATCCGTGATTGGGAGAGGAAAATCGTCTTTTGGACATGCCGTATTCAGGTCCCTGAAGTCGATGCAAATCCTGATTTTACCATTCTTCTTCATGACTGGAACGATATTGGCTAGCCAATCTGGATGTTGTTCCTCTCGGATAAATCCTGATTCAATTAATTTCTTAAATTTCCCCAATAGAAGATCCATCTTTCTTTGCATACACCCACTTGCATCCAATAGCCTTCTTACCTTTCGGTAGCTTTGCAAGTTCCCAAATGTCGTTCTTATGAAGAGACTGCATCTCTTCCTCCATAGCTTCCCTCCACCTAATCGAATCAGAGCTTGACTCTGCTTCCTTCCTTGAATGTAGAAGGAACCAAATCATCAACAACTTCTGCTGATAAAGCATATGCAACCATGACATCGTCATATCTAGCTGGCCGACGAATGTTTCTTCTTGGTCTATTAGCTGCAATGGACTCCTGAACATGACCATGTTCCTGAGTCCCAACATCCACTGTATCCTCTAAATGCCCGGCTGTCATCTCATCTCCTCCCAGTGTCACCTCTGTAAGAGCCTCAATGGATACAATGCTATCTGGAGTGGGTGGAGTCACATCATCCTCCACCTGCTACGATATCTCCTGAATCTGGTCTTCCTCCACCTGCTGAGGAACTTGAGGCTTCATCATGTACGCCTCGTCAAATGTGACATTCCTGCTAATAACTATCTTCTTGTCATGTGGATCCCATAACTTGAAGCCTTTAACTCCATCTCTAAATCCCACAAAGACTGCTTTCCTCGCCCTCGGATTCAATTTACCATCATTGACATGGTAATAAGCTGGACACCCAAATATCCGAAGCGACTCATAATCACAAGCTACCGAACCAGACCAACGCTCCAACGGAGTCTTCCTCTGTATCGTAGTGCACGACAACCTATTCACGAGATGGCTCGCATAAACCACCGCTTCGGCCCAAAAGGATATTGACAATCCACTCTGCGTCATCATACATCGTACCTTCTCCAGTAAGGTACGGTTCAATCTCTCAGCCACCCCGTTCTGTTACGGTGTCTCACGTACTGTGAAGTGTCGTCTAATGCCGTGATCCCGGCAAAACTGTAGAAACGGATCACTCTTATACTCTCTTCCAATGTCCGAACGAAGAGTTTTTACCTTTCTACCTGTCTACAGCTCCACTTTCTTCTTTCACTCCACAAAAATATCCAGGACCTGATGTTTATGCTTCATCGGGTATACCCAATTCCTTCTGGAATAGTCATCAATGAAAGTGACAAAATAGTTGACCCCACCAAGTGATGTGTGCTTGGAAGGGTCCCAAACGTCTGTCTGAATATAGTCCAAAATACCTTGGGTATTGTGAATAGCAGTGTCGAATTTCACTCTTGTCTTCTTCCCAAGTATGCAATGTTCACACAGCTCCATCTTGTAGGTCTTTGCACCCTTCAATAGCCCCTGCTTCGCCAATACATGCAGGGACTTATCACCAGTGTGTCCCAATCTCATATGCCATAAACTGGTAGTATCTTCCTCTGTGGTAATAGAAGCTGCCAGACCTCCTGTTACTGTCTTGCCCTTCAAGTAGTAAATGTTGTTTTCCCTGACACCTCGCATCACCACTATGGACCCTTTTGTGACCTTCAGAGTCGCATTCTCCAAGATCATCTTATAGCCAGATGCCTCCAAAGTTCCAAGCGAAATGATATTCTTCGTCAATTGAGGAACGAATCTCACTTCCTTCAGCTCCCGAGTTACCCCGTCACACATCCGGATCCGTACTGTACCAATACCACCAATAGGGCATACGTGATCATTACCCATGAGCACGATATTTCCTCTTTCCAACTCTTCAAAGCTGAAGAACCAATCTCTCATAGGGCAAATATGGTATGTAGCACCAGAATCCATCATCCACTCCATAGAGTCAGCGTAACAAACTGACGGTAATGCAGAGCAAGAATAGCCTGAAGAATCCGTATCTGAATTGTCATCACTAGCCTTGACAACATTCACTTCTGAAGCTTGTACAGCTTTCCTTTTATTCTTCCCGGCTTTGTCTTTCAACTTTGGGCAGTCGTTCTTCTAATGTCCTTCTTCTTTGCAAAAGCGACATTGATTCCTACCAATATTTCTATAGCCACCTCTTGACTTTGATCTTGAGCGATCACCTGGACGACGGTTTGGACCACGACCTCGAACTGCTAATGCATCTCCCGATGCCTTCTCGGAGGGTTCGCCATCACTCTTCCTCAACTCATAATTCACCAAAGCTGAGGTCACCTCCTTGTAGCTAACTGTAGTTCTTCCATTTATCATAGTGAGAACAAACGTTCCAAAATCATCCTCCGGCAACGAACACAATAGTAGCATCGCCTTGTCTTCATCCTCAACCATGATATCTACATTGGCCATATCCGAAATTAGCTTCGTGAAGTTGTTAACATGCTCCCGAATGGAAACTCCCCTCTTCATCTTGAATTGGTAAAACCTCTTCTTCAAGTGAAGCCGATTCTCAATGCTCTTCGTCAGATACTTCTCATTGAGTGTTTCTCATATTCTCTTCGCCGACGTCTCGTTCATTACGTCATAAATAAGATCCGACGTCAAGCATGACCGAATAACTCCACAAGCCCTACTATTCATCTTCTTCCAAACATTGTCCTCCATATCAGCGAGTTTCTCTTGTAACTCAAGAGTTTTCTCTAAATTTTGTGCATCCAAGGCGTCCATCACTTGACACCTCCACAAACCAAAATTGATCTTGCCGTCGAACTTCGGAACATCAATCTTTGTATTATTGATGCTCAGACTCTGTATCGCCTTCGAAAGAGATGATCCCGATGTGCTTGTTTCTCCCATGTTGTCGATCTAATTCTTCAAATAGGAGTCCTTCAGCGAATCCTTCAAACAAGTCCCAAATCCAACCCGGAGCTCTGATACAACTTGTTGTGCGCAGCGAAATTTCGACAGCATCTCCGGTGCGCAAGGTGCACAACAAGAGATTAGATCACAACGGAATTCTCATTTCTCAAAGGAAACAAGAACCAAAAGCCAGATATCTCATCAAAGTGAGATATCAGCTCTTCCTCTCGTCAGCTCTAGGACTGCGCGTCGAGGGAACCTATAAGCTATTACAAATCACGACAAGAACACAATTTTTTTACGTGGTTCGGCAAATAGCCTACGTCCACGGGACAAGGAGGGGGAGATCTACTATTAGAGGGAGAGATTACAACTAAGGTTTACAATCACACAATTTAAACCCTCACACAAAATCTCAGATCCCTCACACAAAATCTCTCTCAAAAGGGGAGGCACAAAATCTCTGAAACCAGCGGCTCTCCTCTGCAGTTTTTTGCTTTTCACGCCGAAAAAGAAATTAATCTGCAGACCCACTTTGCTCGCTTCCGCAATGTGCAGCCACCAAAAATATTCCTTGCACACTTTATTTTTCCAAGCCCAAAACCCTAGGAACCGAACTGATGAGGTATATATATGGTTGAGTTTTGCTTAAGTGGGCCGCATCTGCAAACCGCGTTCATTAACGCGTTTGTAACAAGCGCGTCGCTTTCAAACACGTGGGTGGGCCCCCACTTGTTCACAGTTTCCCCTTCTTTATCGTTTTATCTTGATTATATTAGTGCTTTTTTTTCAAAATCCTTGCATGTTAGTGCCTATATAAGTTGTGAATAAAGCAAAAGAAAAAGTTGTATAATAGACATGAATAAATTTGTCTACAACATTTGAATGCATCTTGATTAGAACTGAACAAACCGAACCGAACCAAACCGCACCGACTTGTAACAGTTCGGTTCGGTTTTGAACCAGTGGCGGAGCCAGGATTTTAATCCTATGGTGTCCTATAGATACATCGGTAATGGTGGAAAATACATCTCTCTCAACATTAGCCACCAAACTATCATTAAGCTGAAAAAATTCGAACCCACGCGCATGATGGATTCCTTGCGAGATTCGAACCCGCGCGCATGCTGGGTTCCTTGAGACCCTTTTCCGCTAAACCATCTATACTTTTGTTATTTTTATATGTGCTCTCTGGTAGATATTCAGTTTTTACTGGTGTCCCGGGAACCCAGAGGCACCCATTCAGCTCCGCCCCTGTTTTGAACAATGAGAGGTTCGGTTCGGTTGTTCAAAATTTGATAAATACCGAACCGACCGACGGTTTGCACAGCCCTACTTCCAAGTAATGATCAGAAATTGGAAATCGGAAATTTGATCCTTCTTGTTGCATACTTTATTTTGAACTAGATCGGGTTTTCATTAGTGGAAACGGGTCATCTCGATATTGTTGACTTTAAAGTCAGCTTATTTTCCCCTAACCGATTTCTAAAATTTTATAAAATGGAATCAGCACGCAAGGAATATGCACATACACATCGACTTTCCTCCTGACTACCAAAGTCAACTAAAATTTACACCGAACAATTAAATTTAAAAAAATGACTTAAAGAGGAGCACATACCAGCAGAGTAGAAAGAGGACGAGAGCGCAGGCACGAGATCCACCGGCGCGAAGGGCTCGACCGCAACAGAAACACTTGCTGACCGCCATCACAAGGATCTGACTAACCATCAAGAACAGGAACGCCCCAACGCCGTAGCCAGTCGCAATATCCGAGTTGTAAACGCAGTAGGTGTAGTTCTTCTCCTGATCGGGAACCACCTTCGCCTGCAGCGACCGAGATCGAGAAATCAGCAAGAAAGGTACTGAAGTCGAAATCAGAATGATCTAGGGTCGGTTCCGAGCTCTCACCTTGCTCCTCCGCTCCTCTGCGGCGACGGCGAGGCCGAAGGCGATCAGATCGAGGACGAAGACGATGAGGATGACGAGCTTCGACGCCATTGAGCTTCAGAAAGCACCCAGATCTGGGGTTTCTCTGAGAAAAAACAAAATAAAAAGGAGGAGGCTGAACTGAGTGGGATTCTCAAAAAGACGGTGAGGCAAGTAACTAGCTTTTCGGTGCATCGTAAGCTGATAAATAAATTAGTATTATTTATAGTGGTTGTCGGTAGGATTAGGCGAGTGTACAGCTGCCTCATGTGACCACTGAATTGGGATCCTCTACTCATGCATAGTATCTCCTAATATTTGCTAATGTATCTTCATCTTTTATTTTGTGAACAAGTACAAAGTAAAAGGTGGGGTCCACAAAATAAAAAGTGGAGATGCATTAGCAAATATTAGGAGACACTATGCATGAGTAGAAGATTCCAATCCCCACTTTCAACCCGCTTTGCAAGAAGCCCAATTAAGCCCCTAAACATTTCTTTAAATTGTCATTTTCTTTCAAAATTTCTATGATATATTTTCCTAAATTGTCATATTCTTTTCAAAATGCCGAATAAGAGGGGAACGCGAAAACAGAGAGCTATAATATTGTAATATGACGAAATTCTTTATTTATTGGGGGGGGGGTTGTATATATTCCCCTCATGTCTTTCATGTTTTCATGTTTATCCTCCTAAATCTTAGTACTAATAAAAGTAACCCCCAATTCCTCAAATTAAGCTTTTCTACCTTTTTCGCCCAAGAGTTTTAGTTTTCAGCGAGAAAATGTGGCAATCTTATTGAAAATTATTTGAGATTTTTTAATGTTATAATGTTTAGAAGCCAAAGTTGTTATGTGGGACCGGTAGAAAAACTAGTGAGAGAGAATTGGAGGGTACTTTTGCAAATATAAATATGAGGGGTAAATTTACCAATAGTGAATTGCCTAGGGATCCTTGCATGATATGAAAAGGTTTTTTATATTAATAAATGAGTGGCTAGGAAGTTTGGTGAACATCAACTTAAGTTGATAGGAGTCTTACTATACACACACACAAGCAAAAAACACCCCGCGTAACGCAGGGTGAATGAAGAATGCATACTCCTATATTTAAATTTGGGGTATTCATTTAAATAATCATAAATGTTGAAAAAGTAAGTTTAATGTTATGCAAATAAGACAACCAAAATACAATAGTTTTGATAACAGATGTAATACATATTGTTTGTGACAAGAGTTAAGTTAGGAAGCACAAGGATTGTGATCCATAATAAACATACATACATACATCAAAGTCAGGTTGAAAGGTATAGCAGCTATCCATCAAAATACATAATGTACCCTAAACTATTAATACTTACATAGCAAAAGGGGAATCAAGCAAGCATAAGGCTGAACGTGGACGTCGTCTACTGGGTTCCTTCAGTAGAGTCGGAGTCAGAAACAACCTTAAGTTTGATTTCATCGCTATCAGTAGAATCAGCTTCTTTGTCAGAGGATGTGTATGAGCTACTACTTTTCTTGAAGTGCCTCAATTGTATTGTGCAGTACTGGATTAAATGCTCTAGGAGACCAATCCAATGAACTGATAGTGTATTGCCCTTTCAAACTGTACTTGATATTTGCATAACCATGGCCGAAAAACAAACTTGAATTCCTTTCCATGAGCTTTGGTTATTAGATTATATATTTTGCAGAGCCCATTATCCTAAAATCATATTGCACTGATCTATTAGTTCTTTCCATTCACAAATTTTATATCTTAGTACTTTTTTTGTTTGATGTCGACTAAAAAGTAGGTAGTTGAAACTATAGTGTAGAAACATACCTCCAATTTCACTTTCTCTGGAGCAGGGATGTGAATAATTTTCTCCGCATCATAGTTAAAATTTACGAGGCCGGTTTAACCTGACAGTATCATCCTTGATATCAATTGTGATCTTGTACCTAAGATGTAAATGAATACAACTATTATGTTGGTTACATAGAATTTAAATTGACCTATTTATTAATACTAGTATACAATACGTGCGTTGCACGTGATGCATATTAAAAAACTATAAAAGTTAAAATTCATAATGTTTCCTAATTATGCATTAAACTTATTTAATAAATTATATATTATATAATGTTTCCATAATATTATATTATTTAATAAATTATATATAACCATTAAAAGTTATTTTAATGCACTATGATTAAAACTTTTTAACTTATACTAATATTAGTATTTATACTATTATTAACATACATTTAATAGTTATTTAAAAATTTCTATTATTATATTATTAAACAATTTATTTAGGAGTATAATTATTAAATAATAATGTAATCATTAGTTTAAGTAACACTATTGATATAATTAAACCATTTAAATTATTAAATATTTATGTCATGTACATATTTTATTACAATATATATTAAATAATGGCAATAATTTTTAATATTAAAATTTAAAGAATATTATCTTATTTGATAATTAATAATGACTAAGACGATATTATAATTAAGAAAAGGGTATTAATTGTTATAATATAAAAAACCTATTTATACTATTATTAATAATTATAATTATGTACAATATTTTATTAAATAAATAATTTTACTATTTCATTACAATTAATAAATATTTTATAATAAATTATAATATATTTATTTATTTTATTATCATTATAAATTATTAGTATATTCTAGTGAGTGGCCAAATATTTTGAAGGAAAGAAGAAAAAAGTATATGCCTCGTAAATTTCAAGGATCCAATTTTTTTATATAGATTAATTTTCTACTTTCTAAAATAAAAGTATTTTTAATTTATAACATCTAAATTTTATTACTAAGATGATATTAATTATCAAACTAGGTAATATTCTTTATAACATAAAGAAATAACCCTATTTATACTATTATTAATAATTATAATTTTATCCAATAATTTATTAAATGAATGACTTTTACTATTTTATATAATTAATAATTCTTTACAATAAATTATCATATATTCATAAATTTTGTTATCATTATAAATTATTAATATATTCTAGCAAATGACCAAATAATTTGAGAAAATGAAAAGGTGCATAGTTAATGAGAGGTTATGAAACATTAGCTTTATAATTAATGGTATAATTTTGAGTTATGAGAAATTGAGAGGGTAAAAAAGGAAATTAAAAGTTTTGACATGGGTATTCTCTTTTATAAGTAGTATAGATAACATTTATGATGTTGTTTTCCCATTTAAGTTGGGTTTGGACAGCCATATTGGTCATTAACTTCATACTTCATGCCTTTTGGGCACATTGCACATGCACGGTAGGTCATCGATAATTCAGTGTAAATATGCGAGATAGTTGCGTGGATTGTGTAGTACAAATTCTGATAGATTTATTTGGAGAGATGATGTTAATGATAAGAGCAAGCAATGATTAATAAATATGTGTTTTTTATATTAGATGAGATGGAGAAAGTAATTAGCAAAGGGAAGTTATACATGAAAAATCATTTTAGAGATGTTTTGATTAAGTCATCTTCTAAATAGTGCAAATATGTGTTAAAATGTAGGTCATAGAGAAGTGATGAATGTATGTAGATATTTCTTGAGTAACTATTAGATTTGTAGTATAGAGTAATTATTTAGAGGTGAGATACCATTCTAGAGGATTTAAACCTAATTTAGGATAAATTATTATACAGTTGAAATGTGGGTTTTAGAGAAAGTTTTCTTGCAACTTTTTTTTCTCTCTAGATCATTGGTCTACGATATCTCTTTTTTTCTTCTTTTACTATTCTAATAGATAGCCACACATATTCATCTCTATTGTACAATGCCCGAACAAGGAGATAATATTTGAACTAAGATTCATTTATAATGAGAGCAAAATATTGACAAATAATGTGATAAAAAGAAGAGATGGTAAAGGTTATGTACCTTATCAGGGACAGGAGGAGAGCTAGTAAGAGCTCGAAGTTGGCTAATTATGTAGATTACCTCTAGAGTTTTGCAATAAAGTTCACTGAATCTTGATATTTCACTGTAAGTAGCTTGAATTTGGTTTGCTTTGTCTGTCACTCTTATTTTTTTAATCAAAGAGATGATTGAGACAATAAAAAAATAAAAAGATTTTATAAATCATTATTGCTGACTTTAAATGTTTGAGATGGAAAATAAGTTACTCTTTGAGAAGAAGTCGAGACTCAGGCATGTTCTCTGGTTCAATTTTGAATCTTGTGAACATACTTGTCTATAGCCCATATCGTCCTATTTTGTTGTTTGCTTGAAAAAAATTAAAATTATTTAAAGAATGTGCTATTGACATGAAGACTATGAAGATATGTAGAGAGCATACCGCGAAATTTGTTTCCTCTAAGACCGCTTGCAAGAAGGACAAATTGTTTCTTAAATGGTAGAGTAAAGATTTTAGTTCTTTCATATTCTTCCTTTCAAATAGTAAGCACACAAACTTTTGGAAATATAGTCTCATCTGTCATGAAGACCTCAGCAAAGTGAATAAGTTTCTTCTTTGTATGTTTTGTAGTTGGAGGGCGAACATCAATGATAAGTGTCAAAACATCTGCAGAAAGAAGGCAACATTAGCAAGTTTCTAGGCTTTTTTCTATGCATTTTTAAATGTCATTCACTAGTATAAAAGGTCATATATTTCTTGTATTAAAAAAACTAAACAGCACACGATGTATTAGAAAATCGATCAAATTAGCATGAAATATAATTGCATAATGTGGAGAAGACATGCAAATTGTGCCACATTGAGGAAATTAAGAGAACATGAGATAGTTACATTTCAAATTTTTAGTCTTTATAGCTTCTGTAGGTTGATGTATATCCTCGTCCTTTTCGATTTGTTGAATGATATCAAGCTTTTGGAAATTATATAACGGTTCCAGTGGAATATTTGTGTCTGGTAGTGGCATAGAGGTTGTCCTCTCAGTACAAGTCAATTGATGCTTGTGATCAATAAGTTTGACTTAGTTGTTGCAATCAATGATGGAAACCCTTGAAATAGCATATGATGAGCCCTCATTAAGAATAGATTTACAGTGCTCAGCTAGCCCAATTGGTACAAATCCTTGTCTGCAACTTCCCTCTTATATATGGTTAATGCTAGCCCTTAAAAAAATATTGGCAAGAATCATGAGAAATAGATAACACCAAAATTTTATAAATATAGTTGTAC